AAACTCTTTCGATAAAACAATTTTGTTTATGTGATGTAGGGCTTCGTCCATTTTCTCCTACCGTTGAACACCTCATCTGCAAGAAAAACACAGAACTAAACTTTGGCAAGACAGTTTTCTGGTAATAAAAGTAAGTTTAGTTTTGTTGTCTCAGACAGCAATCAGTATGTCAGACACCGTAAAATTGATAGATTACTTCTCAAATGTATGAACAAATCACTTTCAGTGATGGTTATCTAGTGACGTGGGGAATGTTCCCTGGCGCTAATGTTGGCATTTTCATTCGGCTACATAAAAAGTAAATGTTGCAGTGTTTAAAAAAAACATTATTGAACAACATGTTGTTCCCTTGCTGAAGTCGCCTCCTTTCTTTGGGCCTGTCTTTATGTAATTTGACGTTTCTATTATATTGTAAAACCTTTCTTCGAAGTAGAAAGAGTTATGACATGGCCTGATCTCAATCCAATTGACTGTCTTTGAATCATCAATAATGTTTAGATAAAGAAATCGACGACAGTGACTAATGTGTCACAGAAACTGTTGTTAGACTGAGAAAACAATGTGACAAATTAGTAAAGCTTTTTCGACAGAGGTGAACAGAAGTAATTAAACACCACGATTTGTAGATAACTTATTAAAATGTTCTAATAGTATTAAATCAATAATGCTGATAATTAAATTTACATGTGTATTTACAAGTCTTTTGTCTGATTTTGGACGCTATATCTTTCTGTAATATACACTTCAATAATTTTCTTCGTCATTCTGTTATTCTATGTGCAAAATAAGCTTTTACAACATTTACTACAATTTTTTATCATGAACAAATATGTAGAATTGAAAGCGCCTTAAACTCTCGACAAAGTTTAATATTTTTAAAAAAATTATCTGTCAAAAGTACAGTTCTCTTGGTAAGGATATTAGTCAATAGTCTCATTCTAACTATTTTTAGAATTTTAAGAAAAATACAAACATATGAAACTGGATATTATCATTTTTTTTTTTTCGAGAATAACAACAAAGATGTTAACTACTATTCTTGTAAGTGAATAAATAAATAACGTTTTGTTGTCATTTCTCAAGAAAAGAAATTTAAATCCAAATGTTCGAACATTGTTTTATTGAATTAATGTGTCGAGAGCAAATGCAAAAATGTCTAGAAAATGCATTTTTCAAGAATTTATTATTGCAGTTTCTCGTAATTACATGTTTATTGAAATGCTACTCTTCAGAGATATTTTTACGAATTTATGAATAAAAACATGTAAATACTGCACTGTAATTGTTTCATATATTTTTATAAAGTTGTAAATATAAATTATTCTTTTAAATAAACAATATTATAATTGTTTTTTTTTCTTTTTTGTCTTCAATCTTTGAGAAAGAATAAAATGCATAAATCTAAATATGTTTGTGTTTTATTAAAATTATAAAATAAATTTTAATCACTAAAAAAAACACCGAGGGGAGATATAGTAATAGCAGCATCAAGTGAAAAACCGCCCTTTTGACAAAATTTACGGGTGCGAATGTCAAACTTTTCAAAACTTTCTTTTTCTTACATTGGATGCTACTATATTTTATCTGATTCAAGTTTCATACATTCACTTATCAGGAAAAATTCCTTGGGTTCTTTTTTAACTATTAACTTTCTCTTTATGTTGACTATTTCTCACGAGACCACTTTTTGGGGACATTTGCCAAGAATTCGCTTGCCAGTTTCAAACGCTATCTGATTGATTGCTGCACTTTTTTCAATAATGCCAAGTCAAAACAAAAAAAGAACAGACACTGACCGAATGATTTGCTAAATTCTTAAGTACTCGAGACGTGTACACATACAGGCGCACATAGACAAATACATATTCACATACACACAAATAAACACATACACATAAAAATCAGAGAGATAAATAAGTTCATAGAAATCATATCAATTTATCTTCTTACAACTGCTCCTGCTACCTTTACACAGTCTCTTGTAGGGCTGTTTTCTCTCTTGTCCTATTTTTCTTCAATGCGTCCTGCTCTTCTTCCTCGTTATAAGTCCTTCAAACTCGAACTTGTCTCTTCTAATGCTAAGTGTCTTTTTGTCATTTGTTTCTAACGATATTTTTCTGTTAATACTTTGCTTATTTCAAGCATCTTTCGATATCCTCATTTTTGTGTCATATTTTCCGTTGGGCTGTTAAAGTAATTTCTTAAGCATTTATTTTTTTTCTATTTGATTCTTATCTTGTAATTTTAATTCAACATCTTTGAGCTCTTTGCTGCCAACCATACAGGGTCTGTTTTCTCACAATATTTTAGTCTCACTTGTTTTTATATTACGTTCTGTGGTAGGACGTCCTGTAATTTCTTCTATCTATCAACACTTATTCGCATATCTGTTTTTATGACCAAATTTGAATTCTCTCAGACACACGTTAAAGGTAATCCTTTCTTATCCTTTTTATTTTGCATTCTTTATTTTCTCCAATATTCTATTCTGATTATTCAATATCGTTCAAATTTTATCCTCATTCTTATTCTTATTCTCACTGTTTTACCCAAATAGGAAGGTTCATTCATATATCATATTCATTTTATTCTTATTCTTATTCCTATTCTCACTGTTTTATTCACATTCTTATTCTTAAAAATTCTCACTGTTTTACCCAATTTGACATTCATATATCATATTCATTTTATTCTTATTCTTATTCCTATTCTCACTGTTTTATTCTTTATTCTTATTTTTATTCTCACTAAAGTTTTACCCACATTCATATATCATTTTCATTTATTCTTATTCAATGAACTCTTGTATTCCCTATTCTTATATCATATTCACTGTTTTTATTCCAAAATCTTCTTATTCTTATTCTCACTGTTTTTTGGTATATTCATATATCATATTAATTTTATTCTTATAGTCTTATTCCTATTCTCACTGTTTTATTCACATTCACTTATTCTTATTCTCACTTGGTTTTACCCATCTATCTATATATCATATTCATTTTATTCTTATTCTTATTCCTATTCTCACTGTTTTATTCACATTCTTATTCTTATTCTCACTGTTTTACCCACATTCATATATCATATTCATTTTATTCTTATTCTTATTCCTATTCTCACTGTTTTATCCAAATTCTTATTCTTATTCTCACTGTTTTTACCCAAAATTGTATTTGATATATCATATTCATTTATTCTTATTCTTATTCCTATTCTCACTGTTTTATTCTCATTCTTAAATTTCTTATTCTCACTGTTTTTACCCAATAAAGATTTCATATATTAAAATATTCATTTTGATATCTTATTCTTTGATTCCTATTCCTCCCTAAATTTATTCTCATTCTTATTCTTATTCTCACTGTTTTACCCATTCATTCATATCATATTCATTTTATTCTTATTCTTATTCCTATTCTCACTGTTTTATTCAAATTCTTATTCTTATTCTCACTGTTTTAAACGCCACATTCAACTTTGATACATCATTTGTCTTTGGATTCAGACGGTTTTATTCTTATTCTTATTCCTATTCTCACTGTTTTATTCTCATTCTTATTTAAATAACTTATTCTATATTATTTTACCCATTCTATATCATATTCATTTTATTCTTATTCTTATTCCTATTCTCACTGTCCGTCATTTTATTCACATTCTTATTCTTATTCTCACTGTTTTACCTATTTCATATATCATATTCATTTTTATTCTTATTCTTATTCCTATTCTCACTGTTTTATTCACATTCTTATTCTTATTCTCACTGTTTTACCCAACATATATCATATTCATTTTATTCTTATTCTTTGATTCCTATTCTCACTGTTTTTATTCTATATATATATATTCTTATTCTCAATCTGTTTTACCCACATTCAAGACATCATATTCATTTTTCTTTAGCTTATTCCTATTCTCCTGTTTTATTCAGTAACATCTTATTCTTAATCTCACTGTTTTTACCCATTCATATTTTTATTCAGAAAAGTTATTCTTATTCTTATTCCTATTCTCATATGTTTTATTCACATTTCTTATTCTTATTCTAATATTTTGGTCCACATTCATATATTAATATCATTTATTCTTATTCTTATTCCTATTCTCACTGTTTTCAGTCATTTTAACCTTCTCCAGCTTTACCCACATTTCGGCCTTAACTTGTTGCTATATCATATGTTCAATAATATTGATATTCTTGATTCCTATTCTCCATGGTTTTATTCTTTCATTCTTCATTCTTATTCTCACTGTTTTACCCATTATTCATAAGCGTATCACCATATTCATTTTGATTCCAAATGTTCAGGTAATCCTTTCTCACTGTTTTATTCACATTCTTAGGGCAACTTATTCTCACTGATTTTACCCACATTCCTTATATCATATTACTTCCACCCCATGTACTGTTGAAGAAGGCTATTCTCCACTGTTTTATTCACATTCTTATTGGGAAAAGAGAAACTGGATTTGTTTGAGAATATATCATATTGGTTTTATTCTTATTCTTATTCCTATTTTGAATGTTTTGGGGAGAAGATTCTTCTTCTTCTCTTACATTACCCATTCATATATCATATTCAGTTTTAGTCTTAACTTATTCCTATTCTCACTGTTTTTATTCTCATTTTTTATTCTTATTCTCAGCAGTCAATTTTTTGCACATTCATACCATATTCATTTTTTCTTATTCCGTTTCTCACTGAATTGCATTCAGTGTTCTTATTCTTATTCTCCTGTTTTTACCCAAATTCATATATCATATTCATTTTATTCTTATTCTTATTTCCTATTCTCACTGTTTTAAACCTCATTCTTATTCTTATTCTCAAAATTTTAAGACCACATTCATATATCATATTCATTTTATATTCTTAACAACTTTTAGTTTTTTCTCACTGTTTTATTCACATTCTTTTTGCTGTTCTCATTATTTTTAACCCATTTATTTCATATATAAGACTTTTATTCTTATTAGATAAAATTCCTTCTCAATGTTTCTTTCCCATTCTTCAGATAACCTTCTCACTGTTTTATAATAAAGTTTGATATATTCATTTTTTCTTTAAACTTATTCCTATTCTCCTCTGTAATATTCAAATTCTTATTCTTATTCATTTACTGTTTTAATATATTCATTTATTTAGACATTCATTTTATTCTCTCACTGTTTATTCTATAAAGAAATTCTTTTCTCACTTTTTAATTATATTCAAAATGTTTTTAATTCTTAATCTTATTCTCCAAAAGAACATTTTACCCACATTCATATATCATATTCATTTATTCTTATTCTTATTCCTATTCTCACTGTTTTATTCTGTTTCTTATTCTTATTCTCACTGTTTTAAAATTCATATAAAATATTCATTTTATTCTTATTCTTATTCCTTTCTCAATGTTTTATTCACATATCTTATTCTTATTCTCACTATTTTATATATTCATATATCATATTCATTTATTCTTATTCTTATTCCTATTCTCATGTTTTTCTCAAATTCTTAGAATTCTTTTATTCTCAGCCAATTTTAAAATTCCTTATTCATATTCAAAATTATTCTTGGTCTTGATTGATTATTCTCACTGGTTTATTCTCATTCTTATTCTTTTCTGATTTAATCAGGTTTTTCCGAAGGTTATTCATATATCATTTCATTTATTCTTAAAATTTAATTATTATCGAAACATAGGCTATTTTTTGACCACCGGCGGCTATAAAAATATCACGATATAAAAATACAAATTTATTCTTTTTGTTTTTGACGTTATAATATTTTTAAATTAATATTCATATAACTTTTAATAATTCATTTATATTCATTTTTATAAAAACATTCCTATTCTATATATATATATTTATTCTATATTCTTATTCTTATTCTCTGTTTTACCCACATTTTTTATTTATTCATTTATTCTTTTATTCGTATACGCAAAAAAAAAGGTTTATTCTCATTCTTATTCTTATTCTCATATAGAATTGAAGGGAACCCAAAGAGATTTTTCATATATCATATTCAAAAAAATCTTATTCTTATTCCTGGATTCCTTATTATTTTTTAAAATGTTTTTATTTATATTTTATGTTGTTTTTACATTTAATTGATCATATTTCAAGAATAATTTTGTGACTATGATTTTATTCTTATTGACATTAACATAGCAAAAGATGAACCTATTCTCACTGATTTTAAAATTCACATTCCATCATAATCATTTTAGCCGTAAGGTCTAAACTATTCTCCTGTTTTATTATGTAACCTTTATTATGCATTAAATATTTCTCAAACCGGTATAACAATCAATGTTCGTAAAGTTTTAAGCTTAAGAAATATTCCTTTTGACACTGACTTATGCCAGAATTTATTCAGGTTTGATTAATTTAAATTCATAGCTCAATTCATTTTATTCTTCATAGCAGATTCCTATTCTCAATTACTTTATTCACTAAATTAATTCTCACTGTTTTAAATAGCAGAAACCTATCATATTCATTTTAATTCTTATTCTTAGCTAGTTCTCACATAATTTTATATTTGATGGCTTATTCTTATTCTCACTTAGACATTTTTACCCATCTCATATATCATATTCATTTTATTCTTCTTCTTAAATTCTCCTCCTGTTTTTTTTCACATTTTACTTATTCTTGATATGATTCAGGAGATAATTCAAAAAATTAATCAAAAATTTTATTCTAATTCCTGAAACTTAATTCTCAATTGTGTTATTTTGTTGTTACTCGAGGGATTCTTATTCTCATTTTGTTTTAGCAAAAAATTAAATATTTTTAAAAGAATTTTTGTTTGTATTTGTCTTATTGTTTATTTATAATTATTTTGCTACTTATTCTGTCTTTTTCTTTTATTCTTTGTCTTATTCCTATTGATTTTTTATTTATTCTTCAACCTTTTTTTTTATTCATACTGTTTTATTTTATTCTTCTTCTTATATGGATTCTCTTCATTTTTCAAGGTCAGGGAAACCTTTCTTAAATTTCTATTTTAAATGTTTTAATACTGTTTATTATAAAAATTTTAAGTATTCTTATTCCTAAAAATCTGTTTTAGTCACATTCTTTTTCTTATTCTATATGGATATATATTATATATATTCTATATTTATTCTTATTCTATATTCTATATCTATGTTTATAAAATTCTTAAATTCTTATTCTCAATTGTTTTTATTATTTTCATATATCATATTCATTTTAATTCTTATTCTTATTCCTGTTCTTTTGTTGTTTTATTAACAATTATTCTTATTCTCACTGTTTTTAAATTCATTAATTATCATATATCATTAAAGAAGGATTCTTGTTTTATTCTCACTTTTTTAGAATTCAAATTCTTATTCTTATTCTGATTTAATGTTTTATTTACATTCATATATTAAGTCTCATTTACGCATTCTTATTCTTATTCCTATTCTCACTGTTTTATCAGAATTCTTATTCTTATTCTCAATGTTTATTCCATATTATTCATATTTCATATTCATTTTATTCTTATTCTTATTCCTATTCTAACTGTTTTTTATTATTCTTATTCTTATTCTCATTTTTACCCACAAATATCATATTCATTTTATTCTTATTCTTGGCAACCTATTCTCTTTTCTTATTCACATTCTTATTCTTATTCTCAAAAAATTAGAGGCATTCATATAATATTCATTTTATTCTTATCTTTATCTTATTCTCAGTAAATGTTTATCATTCTTTTTCTTCACTGTTTTATTCTATTTAATTCTTTTTCATTATTCAATTTATATCTTATTCTTATTATTCAGATAATGTAATTCTTATTCTCTTATTTTCACATTCTTACTTATTCTTATTCTCACTGATTTTTTTTCCCTTATTCATATATCAAATTCATTTTTTTTCTTATTCTAATCCTTCTTCTCATTTTTGTTTTATAGCATATTCTTGTTCTTATTCTTCATTATTTTTATATATATTCTTATATCATATTCAAAAATTTATATCTTTATTCCTATTCTCAAATGGATTTTTAATTCACATTCTTATTCTTCCATTTCATTTTACAGTTTTTTACAGATTTATATTACTCTTATTTTACATTTATTCTTTATTCTTTATTCTATTCTCACTGTTTTATTCTCATAGGCATCTTTTTATATGTTTTCTTATTTTTATATGGATAGGGATTCATTTTAATTCTTATTCTTATTCCTATTCTCACTAAACGATTCTTCTTATTTTTTTCTTTTGAAATTTAAAGATACATTCTTTTTCTAAACTCATTTTATTGTAGTTATTTCAAAAATTATTCTATTCAAATTCTTCCAAATATTCTTTCTATTTATTCTTATTCTATACTGTTTTATTCACATTCTTATTCTTATTCTATAATTTTTCTTATTCTATATATCATATTCATTTTATTCTTATTCTTATTCTTTCTCACTGTTTTATTCATTCTTATTCTTATTCTTATTTTACCCATTTCATATATCATATTCATTTTATTCTTATTTTTATTCCTATTCTATATTTTATTCTTATTCTTATTCTTATTCTTACTGTTTTTTAAATTCATATATCATAACATTTTATTCTTATTCTTATTCCTATTCTACTTTTTTTTCATTCTTATTCTTATTCTGATACTTGTCTATTTACCAATTCATATATCTATTCACATTTTCTTACATCTTGGTATCCTTTCATTTTATTCTTATTCTTATTCTTATTCTAAGTGTTTTACCCATTCATATGTCATATTCATTTTCTTATTCTCCTACTCAAACTCATAAAATTTTCAATTTGCATCTTATTCTTATTCTCACTTTTTACCCACATTCTCATTCTTATTTTATTCTAAAAATTTTTTATTCTTATTCTTATTATTATTCTCATTGTTTTAAATGACTGTTTTCTTTTCTTATTCTCATGATAATACTCATTCTTATTCTCCATTTATTTTATTCTTATTCAATTCCTATTCTCTTCTTATTCTATATTCTTCATTTTATTCTCATTCTTTTTCTTATTCAGTCACTGTTTTATTCTTATTCTTAGTTCCTATATTCATTTTTATTCTTATTCTTATTCTTATTCTCAAACTTTTTTCCAAATTCTAATCTTATTCTCACTGTTTTTTTTATTCTACTTATCATTATCTAATTCATTCTTCAAAAAAATATTTTAAATAATGACAGCATTATTCATAATGTACTTATTCTTTTTACTATTCTCATTTTTTATTCTATTCTTATTCTTATTCTCACTTATTCTTATTCTAATTCATATATCATATTCATTCTTATTTCTTATTTTTTTCTTTTCTACCCATTTTGATTTTGTTTTATTCATTCATTCTTATTCTTATTCTCACTGTTTTAGTCCATTTATTTATGTAAGATTATATCATATTCATTTTTCATTCTTATTCTTATTCCCCCTCGTAATTCTCACTGTTTATTCTCATTCTTATTCTTATTCTCCTTATTTTACTCATTCTATATCCATATTCATTTTATTCTTATTCTTATTCCTACTTCTCACTTATTTATTCTCATTCTTTATTCTTATTCTCACTGTTTTATTCTTATTCTATACTATCATATTCATTTATTCTTATTCTATATTCTTATTCTATTCTTCTTTATTTATTCTATTCTTATTCTTATTCTCCACTGTTTTATAACTTATTCATATTCTATACTCATTTTATTCTTATTCTTATTCTTATTCTATGTTTATTCTTATTCTATTCTTATTCTCACTTGTTTTTATTCATTCATTTCACTCATTTTATTCTTACTTATTCTTATTCTCTATTTTATTCTTATTCTGACGGAATTCTTATTCTCATTTATTCTTATTCTTATTCTTATCAGTACACATATTCACATTCTTATTCTTATTCTACACTGTTTTTCTATCCTTATTCTTATTCTATATTTTATATTCTTATTCTATTCTTATTATTCTTATTCTTATTCTTATTCTTCATTCTCATTTTTATTCTCATTCTTATTCTTATTCTCATGTTTTACCCACTTATTCATATATCATATTCATTTTATTCTTATTCTTATTCCTATTCTCACTCATTTATTCTTATTCTTATTCTTATTCTCACTGTTTTCTATACTTATTCTTATATCATATTCATTCTTATTCTTATTCTTATTTTATTCTTATTCTTATTCTCACTTTTTATTCTATTTTATTCTTATTCTCCTATCATATTCTTTTGTTATTCATATTCCTATTCTATACTTATTCATTTACATTCTTATTCTTATTCCTCTTCTCACTGTTTTATTCATTCTATCACATTCATTTTATTCTTATTCTATATTCACTGTTTTATCCAATTCTTATTCATTATTATTCTATTTTTATTCCTATTCTATACTGTTTATTCTTATTCTTATTCCTATTCTCATTCTTTTATTCATTCTTATTCATTCTACTATATTCATATCATTTTCATTTTATTCTTATTCCTATTCTCACTGTTTTTGTTATTCATTCTTATTCTTATTCTCATTGTTTTACCCACATTCATATATCATATTCATTTTATTCTTATTCTTTATTCTTATTCTCACTGTTTTATTCATTCTTATTCTTATTCTTATTCTCACTGTTTTATTTGTTTATTCTATATTTCATATTCATTTTATTCTTATTCTTATTCCTATTCTCACTGTTTTATTCTACACTCTTATTCTTATTCTCACTGTTTTCATATTCATTATATATCATATTCATTTTATTCTTATTCTTATTCCTATTCTCATTCACATTTTATTCTTTTCTCATTCTTATTCTCACTTCTTTTCTACCCACATTCATATATCATATTCATTTTATTCTTATTCTTATTCCTATTCTCATGTTTTATTCATTCTTATTCTTATTCTCCACTGTTTTATTCCCACATTCATATTCATATTCATTTTATTCTTATTCTTATTCCTATTCTCTGTTTTATTCATTCTTATTCTTATTCTCACTGTTTTACCCACATTCATATATCCATATTCATTTTATTCTATTCTTATTCCTATTCTCACTGTTTTATTCAAATTCTTATTCTTATTCTCATTTAATTTTATTCACATTCTTATATCATATTCATTTTATTCTTATTCTTATTCCTATTCTCATTCTTATTTTATTCTCATTCCATTCTTTTCCATTCTCATTCTTTTTTCTATTCATTCTATTTTATTCTTATTCTATACTATTCTTATTCCACATATTTTATTCTTATTCTATACTTATTCTTCCATCTATTCATTCTTATTCTTATTCTCTATTTAATATTCTTGTTTATTCTCATTCTTATTCTCATTCTTTATTTTATTCATATATCATATTCATTTATTCTTATTCTTATTCCTATTCTCCCATTGTTTTATTCTCATTCTTTCTTATTCTCACTGTTTACCCACATTCATATATCATATTCATTTTATTCTCATTCTTATTCCTATTCTCATTCTGTTTTATTCTCATTCTTATTCTTATTCTCACTGTTTTTTATTCTATTCATATATCATATTCTATTTTATTCTTTATTCTTATTCCTATTCTCACTGTTTTATTCTCATTCTTCATTCTTATTCTTTCTTATTTTACCATATTCATATATCATTCTTATTCATTTTATTCTTATTCTTATTCCTATTCTCACTGTTTTATTCTTCATTCTTATTCTTATTCTCATTCTATTCTTTCTTCTTTCATTCTATACTTATTCTTATTCTATTCTTATTCTATTATTCTTATTCTACACTCATTCTATTCTATATTCTTATTCTATTCTTATTCTTATTCTATACTCATTCTATACTTATTCTTATTCTATTCTTTCTTATTCTTATTCTTATTCTATATTTATTCTCCATTCTATACTCATTTCTATACTTATTCATATTCTATATTCATTTTATTCTTATTCTTATTCCTATTCTCATTGTTTTATTCATTCTTATTCTATTCTCATTCTTATTCTATACATATCTATTCATTTTATTCTTATTCTTATTCTCTCATTCTATTGTTTTATTCTATTCTCATTCTTATTCTGCTTATTTTACATTTCATATATCTTATTCTATATTTTATTCTTATTCTTATTCTACACTCTCACTGTTTATTCTTCTTCTATTCTTATTCTTATTCTATACTTTTTTTATATCCATTCATATATCATTCTTGACTCATTCTTATTATTCCTATTCTCACTGTTTTATTCTCATTCTTATTCTTATTCTCATGTTTTACCCACATTCTTATATCATATTCATTTATTCTATTCTTATTCCTATTCCATTCTTTTATTTTACCTCTTATTCTTATTCTTATTCTCACTCATTCTTATTCATATCTTATTCTTATTCTATTTTATTCTTATTCCTATTCCTATTCTCTACTTGTTTTATTCTATTCTTATTCTTATTCTCACTGTTTTACCCACATCATTCTGTATCATTCTCATTTTATTCTTATTCTTGTTTCTTATTCTTCTCACTGTTTTATTCTCATTCTTATTCTTATTCTCACTGTTTTACCCACATTCATATATCATATTCATTTTATTCTTATTCTTATTCCTATTCTCACTGTTTTATTCTCATTCTTATTCTTATTCTCACTGTTTTACCCACATTCATATATCATATTCATTTTATTCTTATTCTTATTCCTATTCTCACTGTTTTATTCTCATTCTTATTCTTATTCTCACTGTTTTACCCACATTCATATATCATATTCATTTTTCTTATTCTTATTCTTTCTTTCCTATTCTCACTGTTTTTATTCTTCTCATTCTTATTCTTATTCATTCTATTCTTTATTCACATTCATATATCTCATTCTATTTTATTCTTATTCTTATTCATTCTCACTGTTTTATTCTCATTCTTATTCTTATTCTCACTTCTTTTCTTATTCTCACATTCATATTATTCTTATTCTTTTTATTCTTATTCTTATTCTATTCTCATTTTATACTCATTCTTATTCTTATTCATATTCTTATTCTTATTCATATATCATATTCTTATTCTATTCTTATTCTATTCCTATTCTCATTCTATTTTATTCTCATTCTTATTCTTATTCTCACTGTTTTATACATTCTTCATATATCTTATTCTGCATTCATTTTATTCTTATTCTTATTCTATACTCATTCTATACTTATTCTTATTCTCATTCTATTCTTATTCTTATGTTTTACCCATTCTTATTCATATATCATATTCATTTTATTCTTATTCTTATTCTATATTCTTTTATTTATTCTTAATTCTATATTCTTCTTTTCTCATTCTATACTTTCCTTATTCTCACTTTTTTCTTACTCATTTTATTCATTTCTTATTCTATATTCTCATTCTTATTCCCATATTCTTATTCTTATTCTTTTCTTTTTCTTATTCTTATATCTATATTCTATTTTATTCTTATTCTTTCTTATTCTATACTTATTCTTATTCTATATTCTTATTCTTATTCTCATTCTATTTTATTCTTATTCATATATCATATTCATTTTATTCTTATTCTTATTCCTATTCTCATTGTTTTATTCTCATTCTTATTCTTATTCTCACTCATTTTACCCTTATTCTATATCATTCTATTCTTATTCTTATTCTATTCTCATTGTTTTCTATTCATATTCTTATTCTTATTCTATATTCTTATTTTTACCCATTTCTATTCTTATTCTCATTCATTTCATTCTATTCTTATTCTTATTCTTCACTGTTTTATTCTCATTCTTATTCTTATTCTCACTGTTTTTTACCCATTTCTATATCATATTCATTTTATTCTTATTCTATTCCTATTCTCACTGTTTTTATTCTCATTCTTATTCTACACTCATTCTCACTGTTTTATTCTATTCATATATTATTCTTATTTTATTCTTATTCTTATTCTATTCTCATTTTTATTCTTCATTTTATTCCTTATTCTCACTATTTTATTCCCACATTCATTCTATACTTTATTCATTTATTCTTATTCTTATTCCTTCTTATTCTCACTGTTTCTATTCTTATTCTTATTCTTACACTCATTGTTTTACCCATTCTTATATCATATTTTCTTATTCTTATTCTTATTCTATACTATTCTTATTTTATTCTCATTCTTATTCTTATTCTCTTTGTTTTACCCATTCTATATCATATTCATTTTATTCTTATTCTTATTCCTATTCTTCTTATTTTTATTCTATTCTTATTCTTATTCTCACTGTTTTACCCACATTCATATTCCATACTCATTTTATTCTTATTCTTATTCCTATTCTCTATACTTATTTTATTCTCATTCTTATTCTTATTCTCACACTTTTACCACTCTTATTCTATATTCATTTTTCTTTTTATTCTTATTCTTATTCTTATTCCTATTCTATTCTTATTTTATTCTCATTCTTATTCTATACTTTATTCTTTTTCCCATTCTTATTCTTATTCTATACTCATTTTATTCTTATTCTTATTCTCATATTCTATACTTATTCTTATTCTCATTCTTATTCTTATTCTCACTGTTTTACCCTTATTCTTATTCCCATATATTCTATTTTATTTTATTCTTATTCTCATTTATTCTATATTCCTATTCTCTGTTTTATTCTCATTCTTATTCTTATTCTCACTCCCATTACCCATTCATATTCATATTCATTTTTATTCTTATTCTTATTCTATTCTCCACTGTTTTATTCTCATTCTTATTCTTATTCTCACTGTTTTTACCCATTCATACTCATATTCTTTTTATCATATTCTTATTCCTATTCTCACTTTTTATTCTTATTCTTATTCTCCTGTTTTATTCATTCTATATCATATTCTTATTCTTCTTATTCTCTTATTCTCATTGTTTATTCTCATTCTTATTCTTATTCTCATTTTTATTCATTCATTCTATACTTATTCTTATTCTATTTTCATTCTTTATTCTTATTCTTATTCTATACTGTTTCTTCTCATTCTTATTCTTATTCTCACTGTTTACTTATTCTTATTCTATTCATTTTCTATACTTATTTCTTTCTTATTCTTATTCTATACTTATTCTTATTCTCATAAATTTATTTCTATTCATATTCATTCTATTTATTCTTATTCTATATTCTCACTATTTTATTCTTATTCTTACACTCATTCTTTTATTCACATTCATATCATATCTATTTTATTCTTATTCTTATTCCTATTCTCACTGTTTCTTCTCATTCTTATTCTTATTCTCCACTGTTTTTATACTTATTCATATATCTATATTCATTTTATTCTTATTCTTATTCTATTCTCCACTTTTATTCTCATTCTTATTCTTATTCTTATTCTTTTACCCACATTCTTCATATATCTTATTCATTTTATTCTTATTCTATATTGGTCTTATTCTACACTTTATTCTCATTCTTATTCTTATTCTCACTTTTATACTTATTCTTATTCTATATCATTCTTCATTTCTTATTCTTATTCTATTCTCTTATTCTTATTTATATTCTCATTCTTATTCTTATTCTCTTTGTTTTTTTCCATTTTTCCATTCTTATATCATATTCATTTTATTCTTATTCTTATTCCTATTCTCACTGTTTTATTCTCATTCTTATTCTTATTCTCACTGTTTTCCATACCCACATTCATATATCATATTCATTTTATTCTTATTCTTATTCATTCTATTCTCACTGTTTTATTCATTATTCTTATTCTCACTATTTTACTCACATTTCATTATTCTTATTCATTTTCTATTCTTATTCTTATTCCATATTCTCACTTTTATTCATTCTTATTCTTATTCATTGTTTCTACACCCATTCTTATTCTATATATCTTATTCATTTATTCTTTATTCTTATTCTATTCTTATTCTCACTGTTTTATTCTTATTCCACATTCTATCATATTCTTATTCACTCATTTTTTCTTATTCTTATTCCTATTCTCATTTTTATTTATTCTTATTCTTACACTCATTCTCCTTATTTTATTCTACACTCATTCTATTCTTATTCTTTTCTATACTCATTCTTATTCATATATTCATATTTTCTTCTTATTCTTATTCTTATTCCTATTTTATCTTTCTTATTCTATTCTCATTCTTACTTATTCTTATTCTCACTCATTCTATACTTATTCTTATTCTATATTCATTTTATTCTTATTCTTATTCTATTCTCACTGTTTTATTCTTATTCTTATTCTTATTCTCACTGTTTTTATTCTTATTCTATACTCATTCATATTCATATTCTATTCTTATTCTTATTCCTATTCTATATTCATTTTATTCTCATTCTTGATTCTTATTCTCACTCATTTATACACATTCTTATTCTATTCATTCTTTATTCATTTTATTCTTATTCTCATTCTTATTCCTATTCTCATTCTTATTCTATTCTTATTCTTATTCTCACTGTTTTATTCCATTCTTATTCCTTATTTCATTTTATTCTTATTCTATATTCATTCTCACTATTCTTATTCCTCATTCTTATTCTTATTCTCACTTTTTTATTCTATTCTTATTCCATATTCATTTTATTCTTATTCTTATTCCTATTCTCACTGTTTTATTCTATTCTTATTCTTATTCTCATTCTTTTTACCCTCATTCATATATTCTTATTCATTTTATTCTTATTCTTATTCTTATTCTCACTGTTTTATTCTATTCTTATTCTTATTCTCATTCTGTTTTATTCTTATTCTATATCATATTCATTTTATTCTTATTCTTATTCCTATTCTCACTGTTTTATTCTCATTCTTATTCTTATTCTTCTTATTTTATTCTATACTCATTCATATATTCTTATTCTATTTTATTCTTATTCTTATTCCTATTCTCATTCTTCTTTATTCTCATTCTTATTCTTATTCTCACACTCATTTTATACTTATTCTTTTTCTATATCATATTCATTTTATTCTTATTCTTATTCTTCATTCTATACTTGTTCTTCATTCTTATTCTTATTCTATACTCATTCTTATTCTATACTCATTTCTATTCTTATTCCTTTTATACTCATTCTATACTTTTCTCATTCTTATTCTACACTCATTCTATACTTATTCTTATTCTCACTTCTTTACCTATTCTTATTCTATACCATTTTATTCTTATTCTTATTCCTATTACTCATTTATTCTCATTCTTATTTCATTGTTCACTTTTTACCTTATTATTCATATTCTATACTCATTTTATTCTTTATTCTTATTCCTATTCTCACTGTATTCTTCCATTCCCATTCTTATTTTATACTTATTCTTATTCTATATCATTCTATACCATATTCTTATTCTATATTCATTCTATTCTTATTCTTATTCTACACTCATTCTTATTCTCACTATTTTTATTCTATATTCATTTCTATTTTATTCTTATTCTTATTCCTATTCACTCTTGTTTTATTATTCTTATTCTCACTCATTTTACCCATTCATATTCATTATTCTATTCTTATTCTTATTCCTATTCTCATTCTTATTTTTCCATTCTCATTTCTTATTCTTATTCTCCATACTTTTTCTTATTCATATATCATATTCATTTTATTCTTATTCTTATTCTATTCTCTCATTTTATTCTATTCTTATTCTTATTCTATACTCATTTATACTTATTCTTATTCTACATCATTCTATACTTATTCTTATTCTATATTCTATTCTCCACTATTTTATTCTATACTCATTCTTATTCTCATTCTTTTTCTATACTCATTCTATACTTATTCTTATTCTATTTTATTCTATTCTTTTTTTTTCTTCTTCTATTCTTATTCTTATTCTATACTCATTCTATACTTTATTCTTATTCTACATTCATTCTATTCTTATTCTTATTCTACACTCATTCTTATTCTTCTTATTCTTATTCTATACTCATTCTATTCTTATTCTTATTCTTATTCTTTTATTCTTATTCTTCTTATTCTTATTCTTATTATTCTTATTCTTCTTATTCTTATTCTCATTCTTATTATTCTTATTCTTCTTATTCTTATTGTTCTTATTCTTACTCTTTTATTCTTATTCTTATTCTTATTCTCATTTTCTATTCTTATTCTTATTCTTACCTCATTCTTATTCTTATTCTTATTCTTATTCTCATTCTATTTTATTCTTATTCTTATTCTTCTTATTCTTATTCTTCTAATTCTTATTCTTATTGTCATTATTCTTATTCTTTTGTTCTTATTCTTATTCTTATTCTCATTTTCTTATTCTTATTCTTCTTCTTCTTATTCTCTTGTTTTATTCTTATTCTTATTCTTATTCATTTTATTCTTATTCTTATTCTATTCTTATTCTTATTCTCATTTCTTATTCTTATTCTCATTCTTCATTCTTATTCTTATTCATTTTATTCTTTTATTCTTATTTCTACACTTATTCTATTCTTATTCTTATTCTATATTCATTCTCTATTCTTATTCTTATTCTATTATCATTCTTATTCTTATTCTTATTCTTATTCTTCTCGACTATTCTTATTCTTATTCTTATTCTCATTCCTTACTTATTCTTATTCTACATTCTTTATTCTTATTCTTATTCTATACTCATTCTATTCTTATTCTTATTCTTCTTATTCTTATTCTTATTCTACTTCCATTCTTATTCTTATTCTATACTCATTCTTATTCTTATTCTTATTCTTCTCATTCTATTATTCTTATTCTTATTCTATACTGTTTCTTATTCTATTCTTATTTATTCTTATTCTTATTCTTATTCTTATTCTTATTATTTTTATTCTTATTCTTATTCATTCTTATTCTTATTCTTATTCTTCTTATTCTTATTCTTATTCTTATTTATTCTTATTCTCTTCTTATTCTTATTCTTATTCTTATTCTTCCCTTATTCTTTTCTTATTATTCTTATTCTATATTCTTATTCTTATTATTCTTCTTCTTCTATACTTATTCTTATTCTTATTCTCATTCTTATTATTCTTATTCTTATTCTTATACTTATTCTTATTCCCTCATTCTTCTTCTTATTCTTACTCATTCTATACTTATTCTTATTCTACATCATTCTTCTTTTATTCTTATTCTTACTTATTCTATACTTATTCTTATTCTTGTACTCATTCTTACTTATTCTTTATTTATTATTTTCTATACTTATTCTTATTCTACACTAGCATTCTTTACTTATTCTTATTCTATACTTCATTTATAAAACTCGTTCTTATTCTACACTCCATTCTATACCGCTTTCTCCACTATATTCTTATTCTACTTATTCTATACCCTTTCTTATTCTATACCACTCATTCTATTGCTTCTTTCTGATTCTAGTAACATTCCATTCTGTTTTCTTTTCTAAAAAAAAATACTTATTCTTATTCCATACTCATTTCATTCTCAGCATCCTTCTGTATTCATTCTCTGTTATTCTTATCTCTATTTGCATATATCTCCATTCATTCGGGATTCTTCACTCATTCTATACAGGGATTCTTATTACATACTCATTCTATTTCTTATTCTTATTCTATACTCATTCTTTCTTATTCTTTACTTTCTATAGCTTTTGATTCCACACTCATTCTTCTTATTCTTATTCCTCATTCTATAATTTAACACTCCACTTATTATTCAGATGTATTCTTTTCTATACTCATTCTATACCTATTCATTGTGGTAAAACATTCTATATGAAGGAGATTCTTAAAAAATTCTATTGTATTCTTATTCTATACTCATTTGATACTATGATTCTTATTCTAAACTCATTCTATATTTAATTCTATTCCACACCCTATACCTACTTCACTCTGAAAGAATTCTCCACTTTTTGGTTTCTATATTTATTCTTATTCTTTGTTTTTCTATACACGTTTCACCTTATTCTATACTCATTCTATACTTTTCTTATTCTATACTCATTCTACCACTACTCGATTTCCCGGCGACACTCATTCTATACTTCATTTCATTTTCTGCCGCTTTATACTCATTCCTTCTTACATTCACTCCATTCTTATTCTTCGCTCATTTCGATAAAGCAACCCTTTATCACATTCTTATTTCGTTTCTACGTTTACATCTCCGATTTTATTCTTATTCTAAACTCTCCTATACGTTTTTCTTATTTCTACCTGGATTCTATCCTTATTCTTATTCTATGGGTTTCTATACTTTATATTTTTCTATACTTATTCTTTTAAACCCCATTATACTTATTCTTATTCTACACTCATTCTATACTTTTGTTTAAAATCTACACTCATTCCTATGAACATGAATATTCTATAAACTCATTTCTATGTTTTCAAATTCTATAAATACTTTTCTATACTTTTCTTTTCTACATGGCGTTTACTTACTTATTCTTTTTCTACCTACTCTATACTTAAACTTATTCTATAACGTGGGCGGAATTCTTCTACACTCATTCTATTAAATGAATAATTCTAACTAATTCTTATTCTATACTCATTCTATACTTATTCTTATTCTATACTCATTCTATACTTATTCTTATTCTACACTCATTCTATACTTATTCTTATTCTATACTCATTCTATACTTATTCTTATTCTATACTCATTCTATACTTATTCTTATTCTATACTCATTCTATACTTATTCTTATTCTACACTCATTCTATACTTATTCTTATTCTATACTCATTCTATACTTATTCTTATTCTATACTCATTCTATACTTATTCTTATTCTACACTCATTCTATACTTATTCTTATTCTACACTCATTCTATACTTATTCTTATTCTACACTCATTCTATACTTATTCTTATTCTATACTCATTCTTATTCTATACTTATTCTTATTCTATACTTATTCTTATTCTATACTCATTCTATACTTATTCTTATTCTACACTCATTCTATACTTATTCTTATTCTATTCTTCACATATTCTATTCTTCACTTATTCTATTCTGTATTTATTCATATTCTACAATTAATCTTCTTCTGCAATATGCAATGTCTCTTCAGGAATGGGCGATCATGGCTCTCAACCTCATTTACGTTTGCCTATTCATTATCACCCCCACTCCCTCTACTGTCCTCCATTTACAAAAGCTGATTAATTGGGTTACTTACCGTTTTCCTCTTTTCCCTCATTTACACTTTCTACCCACTTGCAACCGGTTTGCTCCTAACATAAGTTGGGGTTTATTCTAATATCTTTCCCAAACACATCAAGTGCCGTTATATACCACTTCAAGTTCAATCTGGAACTAATCAAAGTCGTTTTGGGACAGAGGCAAATTCAAAATGGGACAATCACATTCAAAATGGGACTAAACAGATTCAAAATGAAATACGCAAATTGAAAAAGGAATAAGCAAATATGATTTGGCACTTAGCAAGTTCAAAATGGATTAAGCAGATTCAATTTGGGACTGAGCAATTATTTTGCTAAAAATGACTTTAAAATTAAATATTTTCATGATAAAATAATAATGTTCAACTATTGAGATGTTTTATCTTCTAGGAGCAATCAATAAACCAAAAAAATCTATGAAAGGTGTATGTTTTTTGGATGCAACTTTGAGCGCTTAAAATCTCTATCGTTTTTCAAACTGTCTTGATATATACATTCAGTATTTCCCTGCTGCTTTTTCTTCGGACTTTTGAGATTTGCCCTGTCGTTCCCCAAATCTTTTCGTTTTGAATAACTCTTTTATTCTTTTTCAATAGTATATACAGTCTATTCATCTTTCTTTCTTCTCCCTGATTCCCTTGCCAATGAAAGTGCCAGGAACTCTAACTTTGACACAAATGTATCTGTTCAAGAATAGCCCCTTGTAAGGAATTGATAGTAAAATCTACACAACGCTGCCCTCCGATTTTTAATTATCTGATTTGCTGCACAGCTATTTTTTTTAATCCAGAACATTTGTTTATTGAAACGCGCAGATAAGTTCAAAACATTTTTTATAATGAATCTGCTTAGTCCCAATTCACACTTACTTATCTCATTATGAATGTGCTTCGTTCTAAGTCAAACTTGCTCATTTCATTTTGAATTTGCTTCGTCCCATTCTGAATTTGGTATAAGGTTTTAGTTCGGAATTTCAATCAACTGGAGAAGGCCGGAGCGTACAATGGCCGAAGCGTCGTGAATATGACAATAAAGATGAGGACAACATTCGAACAATGTAAATAATGTAAATAATTACAATACCTGTCTATATTTCTGAGATGAGTTATTATCTACATGGCAACAGCCCCCAAAACCTGAGATAGTCGGGTACAAGAGGAGGGGGACAACAACACTCAGAAAACAGTTTGCCTGCCTTATGTGAAGGGATTATCAGAGAAAATACAAAGGATCTGCGGTCCATATAACATCAGGACAATCTTCAAAAGCTCGACAACAATTCGCAGATATCTCTGCCGCGTAAGACCTCCCATTGAAGAGAACATGACTAAAGACTGTGTACGCTATCCCATGAAGCTGCGGAAAGAAATATAACGGGGAGACAGGCCGCCCCCTTAAGGTAAGGCTTCAAGAACACCAGAAAGCTGTAACACGAGGGGAAGTGGAAAAATCAGGCGTGGCTGACCACATATGGAGAGCGAAGGGAGATCACTGCCCTCTGTGGGACAAACACCATTGAAAAATTCGTAAACTTGAGAAATCAGCACATATACTAGGCCACAAAAATCTCCTAGAAATGAATACACTATGGGAACCAGTAGTAAGTAGTGCCAGAAAAAAGTGATAATAACAACAAAAATTGCAATATGAACTCTGGTAAAAATATGAAATGATAATAGCAAAAATTTCAATATGAGCACTGGTAAAAAATGATTGCTCAAGACATTAGGTTTATAATACCCAGAAATTCATTCATAGATGTCCTCGTGGCACAGTGGATAAAGTCGTTTGTAAGATCCAGTTACAGGACCCAGAGAGTGTGAGTTTAATACCCGGTTAAGGCAGTGGAGAACTTTCAGAGCGAAATTAACAGGTGATAACTGACATCCATTAAACATGGCACGTGAAACTAGAACAGTCTACCCCAGTGAGCGAAATAAAGGGTTAAGTTCCAACCGGAGCTTACAACGGCTGAAACTTTGTAATAAATATGGCGACTAAGATGAGGACAATAGTCTGAATAATTCCAATACCTTATGTCAGAAATATAGACATATTGTTTTACTTTATAAAAAAAACAATCGAACACATTAGGCATCATGATATTGCTATCACAGGTTTACATTTCTACTTCTCAACATATTCACTACCTTTTTCAATGACAGTGTTCCACCTCCAAATAATGGCATGTATCCTTGCTTCGTAAAACTTAACTAGCAACGGATGAAGGCTATTTCATACAACAGTTTTTACTTATCTCTACCATAATATATGCCCGCTAACGCCTCTTTCATTGGATCAATAAGATGGATGTCTGATGATGCTAAGTCAGATGATGATGAAGAAGTGAATCTCCAAGAATTAAAGACTGTATGGAGCACGTGAATTTCGGCGTTCAAAAATGGTTTATCTCTTTATTTAATAGAATATTTTTTTTTATCAATAGATTTTGGAAGGGTTCGGAACTGCTAATAGGTATAAAATAAATAGGGCATTTCTTCTCCCGTTTTTATTTTCTCTTTCCTTTCTCTACTAACCCCACCCCATATCCAGATTTACACTACTTCTTTGTTTTTATTTGCTCTGTTTTTCTTGTTTCCTTTTTTCATTTTTCTTCGCTTCTTTTCTTCTTCTGTTTGACCAGTTTGATTTCAATATTTTAGCATCCAGTGACTGGTTTGAAAAATCGCTGTAAATTTTGTTTCGATTTACAAGGTGGAAATGATCATTAAACTAATGTAATCTTGATTCCTATTGTAATATATATATATATATATATATATATATATATATATATATATAAGTGAACATAAAGTCAACACTTAGAGGCGACAGTCTGTTTCATGCCATGGTGGCCTGACGATTGCATATAGCATGAAACAGACTGTCGCCCTCTAAGTGTTGACTTATGTTCACTTTTATATTTACACACGCTCTATCTCTGATATTGAGCACTTTATTCCATAAATATAGCACACCTTAAGACTATATTTCTTCATATATATATATATATATATATATATATATATATATATATATATATATATATATATAGTGAAATGCGAAAGTAGGTGTACAGTAATGAACAAACGTGGAGAAACCATTCAGCTACAGAGAAGCGTCTGGTTAGCAAAGTCCAAATTACTGTTTTTAAACACACAATCTTCGACCATTTGTCTCGATCGATCATATCTGCTCACGAAACGTAATTTAACATAAACAATGACAATTTACAATGAAATGGATTAAGTCTGACAAGTATACTATCTAAAAAATACTTATAAACAGAAAATATATTAAATAATTCATCCATTTCATTATATGTTGTCATTGTTTAAGTTAAGATACTTTACGTGAGCATTGTGTGTTTATAAACAGTAATATTCATTTTGCAAAAAATGACGCTTCTCTGTGGCTAAATGGTATAGCCAGTCAGATTAAATGACAG